CCACACTGCCCTCCTCCTCATGGACATCACCACCCACCTCCTCCTCCTCATCATGGGCCACACTGCCCTCCTCCTCATGGACATCACCCACACCCTCCTCCCCATCATGGGCCACACTGCCCTCCTCCTCCCCCTCCCCCTCCCGGACACCATCCTTACCTGTATCATCACTATCACAAGCATCATTGCAACAAGACACGCACATCTGGAAGCTACTTTCCATTCCAAGTAACTGGATCTGTCTATCGCATTCCAGTTCTAAATATGCAAGATTCTCTCACACCTCCCAGTGCAAAATTTCCTGAGTTATCACTTCTTGGCCCTCAAAGTGCTGGCACTGATGAAGATACTCCCTTCACTGACTCAAGTCTAAGGGAGATGCCAGAAGCTCCACATTTTCCAGATCACCCTTCACAATCAAAGTCATGCCCAGGAAAACCTAAACTTGATCTTCCAAAGATTTTGCCTTTACTTCCACATAAGTCCATGGCAGAAAGTCTTGAATGACCCCTGAGAAAGATATTCCTGACTTGAGGGTTGCAGGCCATATGACCAATGCACAGTGAATGATAAAAGCATATGGTAGAGGGGGAAAAGCATACAATTTCCAGGGAGGAGAAACACCGACATTACTGATTAAGGTGAGCATTCCAGATTGTTTCTTGATCCCAGCTATCTCAGACTCCACTATAACTGAAAGAAAGATTCAAAAGTTTGAGTCTCTCAAATAATGTGACTGGGTAGAAATCTCAATCAGTTCAACTGAAAAGGAAAATTCCCCAACAGTGAAAACTGCAAATCTTCATTTTCTCATAGTTCTTAACTGTAATGCACTTCTCTGAGCAACTATAATCATCTTCCTTAAAAAAAAAAAAAAAAGATCCATGGCACTACATTGCACTTCATAAAAATCCAAAGAAAATAAAATCATGTAATCATTTCTTTCTTGACACAGTTGCTGAAGTTTTGTCTTTTCTTACTACAGATGTTTAACAGCACATTCAATACCCATGAGGCATACTCTAACATAAACTGATTAATAGTGGCTGGGTTACCAGGTTATCTAGAAAAGGGCTGAATATAGTTAATGAGCTGTGGTGTAACACAACAGGGTGGCCTGTACAGGTGCTTCCATTGCTACAGATGCTGGTGCAGATACATAAAAAATACTGCATTCAAGTACAGCCCTTTTCTAATAGTTCATAACTGCTCCCAGGGGAGGGAAAAGCAAAAACAAGTAATCACTCTTTCAGATAAATGGTTCATTGATTTAGAAAACAAAAAAAAAAAAAAAAAAAAAAAAAAAAAAAAACCACCAAAGCATTTGCCAGCTGTATTGTGGGTTGCATCAAAAGGAGGGTGACCAATAGGGCAAGGAAGATAACTGTTCCCCTCTACTCTGCCCTCATGAAGCCTCATCTGGAGTACTGCATCCAAGCCTAGGGATCCCCCAGAACAAGAAGGATGTGGAGCTGTTGGAGGGAGTCTAGAAGAAAGTCACGAGGATGATCGAAGGGCTGGAGCACCTCTACTATGAACAGAGGTTGAGGGAGTTGAGGTTGTTTTGTGTAGAAGAGAAGGCTCCAGGGAGAGCTCATTGTGGCCTTCCAGTATTTCCAGTACTTGAAGGGAGCTTACATGCTCTGACAGTGATAGGACAAGGCAGAATGGCTTTCAACTAAAAGATGGGAGATTTAGGTGAGATGTTAAGAAAAAATATTACTCAGAGGGTGGTGAGGCACAGGTGCCCAGAGAAGTCATGGATGCCCCATGCCTGGAGGTGTCCAAATCCAGATTGGATGGAGCCCTACACAGTCTGATCTGGTGAGCTCGACTCTGCCCACAGCAGGAGGTTGGAATTTGATGATTATTAAGGCCTCTTTCAACCAAAGTCATTCTGTGATACTGTGACTCTAAGAATCTTTCTGCTGGCAACTTAGTTGGGAGGAGCAGGAAGAAAGGGCTCTAAAGTCTCTTTATACTGGAGCCCCCATTAAGATAAGTCCACTCAGACAGTCCTAGTTAGTTCAGGTCAGTTATCCCATAAGCAAGAACGTGGGGTTAACATAAAAAAAAAATTAGCTACTTGGTCTTCAAAGTAGCTTTTAAAGAGCACAAAGTAAAACAAAGCATGAGGGATACAATGAAGAAAAAGAAGCAAAATGAGGATGGCATTTGGCATGCCCAAGTAAAGGTTGGCTACTTTTTTTTTTTTTTTTTTTTTTTTTTAATGTATCATAATGTTCAAGCAACCTTGTTTATGGCTTAGCTTATCCACAAAGACTTTGAAGTACAATTTCTTTAACCAAAACGAGCAAGATGGAGGTAGAATTCTGGATCTGAGTAAATCCCACCATGTTCACAGATTCAAAGCAAATCTGTTTGGTGCTCATCGCTGTCAACAGTCCCAGATGTTCCTTGCCAGCCCTAGTACAGCCTGTGCTAGACAAAGGCAACATTGATCTCTACTTAGGTGTCATTTTCCCTATCAGTAATGATAAGAATACATCATGAAGACCAACTAAACCATGGTCCACAGGTAGTCTTCACATGGCATCAAAGATAGTCGCCTCCAATTGCAGAATGAAGGACAAGGGTTATCAACTGCTATTGAAGAGTTTTGTGGCATTCAATGACATGAAGCTGACCAAAGACTTTTCTTTCAAATATTTTCTGACTTCTCAGAACTATTGTGTCTAAACAGATGTATAAAATGTACAGTGCCTCTGTCCAGAACTAGTTCACATTACTACTGTGACCTTCTTATTTAATTCTTTCTGAGTAACAGTCTTGATGTTAAAAAGCCAGAGATCTGCAAACGTTTTGCTTGCTGCTTTGCTCAGGAGCCATCCTGTCCAGTGTAAGCTGATCTCCAGCTCCAGCCAGTTAGCCTGTTATCTTGATAACAGGTGAATAACCTTAGTGTCATTCTGGTGACCACACAAAATCCGTTTAGAGGAATTCAGAAGTTTATTTGCTGTATAAACAGGATATGATGAGAACTAACCAACCCCAGCAACCCGCTCACTTGTTTACTTTGGTATTGGTCCTGTAAAATATAAGAGGTGATTAAAACCTTGTCAGGCATTCCTTTTCCCTTTGCTTTTTAAAGAGCCTTCTAATGCAGGGGACTTTTATTTTTGTCCAGTTATGAAACTTCTTGTTGTTGTAGCACTGTGTTGTAGCTTTTTTTCTGCTAGAGCCACCCCTCTCCCATTTGAATTTTTGGACTGCGATGACCCAGATGTCTTGGAAGCTGTTGACACAGCACTGCAGAAATACAATGGAGACAGCACTACTAGTAATCAATTTGCTCTGTACATGGTGATGGAAGCCAAGAGAACAGTAAGTAGACTTTGCAAAAAAACCCATGTTGGAATTGTTTATGCACTCTGAATCAGATTTGCTCCATCTGATTCACAAGGGATAGCAAGTGGGGCAGCAAAGTGTCGTGCAGAAATATTTACCAAAAAAAAATTGAAGAAATGGCTCACAGTAAAATACTTGTCACTGTGACAAGCAAGGATGTATACTATGTTCTTATCAGTGGAACTGTGTGCTGGTGAATTGCTTACTAATGCAAGGACTAAAAAGCAAATAATAGAAAACTTATACCACTAATACAATTTGTCTTATTTGTCCATCCAGTTTTCTCCTTTCTGTTGGAAATTTTACCCCTTTCTGCCATCATTAAGATTTTTCAGATGGATGGCAAAGCACACATTATAAAGTGGATACATTTTGACTTGAGAAGAGCTAGTATCACATGCTAAAAAAAAACGACTTGATAAAATTCCCCAACGCTGTGAAAAAACTGTTCCTGAATATTACTTGATTGACACTAGTCCTGAGTCACAGATGTATATAAAAGCACTAGGTGATATTTTAGTCAAAGAGTGACAGTTAAAATTAGAGAAGAAATAAAGAATGAAATGTGATCTCTTGCCTGCAGTCCTTCAGCACAGAGTTACAAAACAAAGTTAATCTAACAGAGTATTTACCTCTGAGACGCACACCAAGATAACATAACCGTAATGACGACAAGCATTGCTTTACTTGAAAACATCAGCAGTTTTTTTCTATTGGATCGGAATCCCAGTGTCAGACAGAATATTTTGCACTCCAAAATCACAAGACGCTTTGACCCGGATGGAAAAGGGACACAAATTGCTAAACGCTTTACAGTAAAGCACCCACATCTCCTGGCACCTTCCCTCTGGTTTTCCTGTTATCAGACTGTGGAGATTTTAGCAGACAAAGACTGAAATTTGTCAAAGCCTTCATATAATTATAGAAATTAACACTCCCATGGTCTTTATTGACAATATAACAATAGCTAAATGCAAACTTCTTAATACCATAGCTGTAAGATCACCTTCCTTTCTGCTTCCTTGTATTGGAGCCATTACACAACTTCTTATCCAAAGGATAGATATTATTTTCAGTATTTTGTCTTATGTTCTATTTTTAAGAATACATATTTAATGCAATTCCTGTTCATCTTTCTCTCAATACAGTGCCTTTTCTTGAAAGATCTGAGGTGAAAATCAATTATTACTTGAGCCACTGATCCGACTAATGCTAAGGAAAAAAAAACACAGAAGGAATCTGCAAGAGAGAGTTGTTCATATTCTATAGACTTTTTCCAGAAAGAGCACAGATTTTACTCATTGCTAGTCTCACAGCGCTGAATGCATTAATTAAATAGCTGGTTATTATATATTCATGTACATTCATTATTGATAAGGTAATAAAACATAAAAGCTGACTGGTGGAATACTGAACCTGCCCCAGTTAAAGGCATAACTGTTCATAAAAAATAACGACATGAAACAACAACAAATGACACACAGAAAGAATGTGTTTTCTCATGAGTTGCATTTGCTCACTGAACTGATTTACTCCAGGTTACAACCGTTAACAGACAGCAGGGTTTGGCTCTTTAAAGCCACATCCCAGACAGTATAACCTGGTGCAGTTCCATAAATGTCAATTTACACCTGCTAAGGATTAAGTCCATTATATTTTTAGAGATCTTTTCATCCTGTCTTACAGCCTGCAGTCATCACATCATACTTCTACCTTCTGTAGAGATGTAGCAACGTATAACAGGAATTGAAAGAACAAAAGATAATTCTGTCCTCACCTACACAAGCATACATTTAGCATACTCCACCCATGCTAACTCAGCTTCTCTTTCTTGATACCATTAAGACAAGAAGTATCATTTGGTTATCCTCAAGTGATACAACTGAGAATTAACATTAAACTACAGCAACTGTGTGTGTTTGTGTTTGAAAAAGTACACTGACAGAGCATTTTTAGTGGCAGTAAACCAGAACTTGTCATTATATAATCTCTGAAGGATGAGCTACAAACCTTGCAGTGTATTAATGTTACCTGTTGGTACAGGGCTTACTACTCAGTTTATTGCAAGGAGAAAATGCCCCCTTATTTAACAACATCAGAAGCACTTGCACTGGTCATGACAAACTTCAATAGCCTGAAAATCTTAGGGGATTTGTGAGACCATCCCCAAGAGCAGCACAGCCTTTAACACCTGTAAGAACACTGCAGGAGCAGCCAAAGGCTGCCTCAGAAGCCCTCTGCCCTTTTCACCTAGGTATGCAGGGCAGCTTATTTACCCTCACACCACAGAGCACAGGCAGTTTGGGCACCACCAGGCTGCTCCACAGTTGCTGGCTATTGCTACCTATGGGAGGCCTGTAGGGCTGTACATAAGGAGAATGGTACATAAAGAGAATGGACAGATTTGGGAGGAGAACAAGTGTGAGAGTGAGGGAACTGAACAGGAGCACAGTCCAAACTAGTAGTTAATTATCCAAGCAGCAGACTAATTTGCTTATTTGGAATATGCTTGAATGCAAATATAAAACCTAATCACTCATGTCTGTTTCTTAAAGTCCTAGATAAAATAAGTTAAAGCATA